GAATGAGAGGGCCTTGAAGCCCCCTTCTCCATCGCATACCCGCCCAGCATCACCAAGCCTACCGGAAATCCTTGCTGAGCAGTTCACCTCGGAGGCACCAAGTTCAGGTTAATTGAATTCTATTATCTTCGATGTTGAGTATTTATCAGTTTCTAATAGTCATCACTGAGTAATGGCTCTCTCCGATCTAATGCGAATAGTTGACCTTTATATGCATTTAAAGTAAATGTGGTGTTAGGGATAGCATTAAGAGATGCAATTGAATGCCCCGGGTTCGGTGGTGTAGTGTTAGCACCCCTGACCGGCAATCAGGAGGCCAGAGTTCAATTCTCGGTCGTCCCCTGGCTCTCTTTCGCCCTCTCATGCCATCCAAATCCTTCTACAGGTCACTAATGCATTATATAAATTCATCTTGGAAGCAATGTGTATATTTTTGTTCATGGCAAGCATTAATTGACGCAATTCTTCTTGTCAATGTCAAATTTTATATGGTGACAGGAAATGTAGGAATGGAAATTTATACCAATGTTTAATTTGCTGATACAGGGTGTGCTCCAGACATTTACATGGAGAGGGGAATTCTATTGAGGTCTGCCCGGACCGAGGGGGAGCAGCTCCTCTTGTGGCCCGTCAACTATAACCCATAGTTAAAAGGCACATGTGGGGTCAGTAGGGACATCTTGAAGTGCAGAGCTTTGAGCTCTCAGGCTTGTTAGGATAGTCAGGATCTGGTTGCTTTAGAGGATTTCGGATTTTTTTCCCCCTTTATTAATCGGCTAACTGCGTCGCGTGAGCTTGTTTCGTTTGTTGAGCCTATTGCTATCCTCACTATTAACTTTATTAAATTGGCGTCTAAATGTGGAATTAATATACAAGGATTTAAATACTATAAAGCAAAAGTCTTCTGATTAAACTGATACCTAACCTCAATATATACAAATAAAGGAAGCTTGAACTGAGACCAAATCTTTCTAGTTTCCTTCGACTTAACTTAACGTGGCCTTGTCTACTCTAACCATCCTTAGCTAACGTGGTTTTAGTGCTAACCCCTGACCTTACCCAACCATAACCTTGTCTAACTCTAAAATATTCACACAAGGTCACGTTGGGCGAACATCTTTGATTTGAAGGAATGAAAAGTTCCACAATTCTAATGGTATAAATGGTGCCTTTCGTTGCAATCACCACTGCAATTTGATGGCAACCAGGGAACAAAATTTATCAGTTCAAACGTATCATCTATTTTATATATACATGTATATATTGAGAAGGTATTGAAGATTGCATTGTTTAATTTTACTGAATTGCATGTCTCTCATCGAGCTAAATTGCTTTACATTGATGCATGCCTTTAACTATAATTGAACCTTCGTATCAGCAGTCCATCTCCAACTTCGCTCTTCAAGGTCTATTTGAACTTGATAGGTATCTCTTCATGTGGGAGGGGAGTACTAATTTAGTTGGAAAATTGTGAGAAGATACCTTGTTGGATTTTTTTGGGATATTGAATTTTCTCTGCACTGAGTGGAGAGGGATAGGACTTTAGTTTCACGGAAGGCCTGAAGTTAGTCCTATCGTTGAAAGCTGTTCAATTTCCACCTTTTGTCGCTGGTTTCAATTGGACGACTTGATCCTTGATGCTTCCAATACTAAACCCCGAGCTTCCCCAGTCAAGTTAGGCATTTACAGAATGTGGGTGACATGAGTTGATGTAGCGGAAGGTCACAAGGTCTTTGAGTTTGCTCCGTGGTTGGTTTCCTGAGAGGAAAGCGCCAGCTTTATTGAGGTGAGTCAGTCTCTTAGTTGCAACTTAAATTCACAACTCCTGTCTTGATTGTTCTTCAAAGTTAATTTTTCTTTCATTCTTACATTTTTTTAATTTTAGCTTGGTTGCCAGGTTGGTGCAGGCACTTACCAATTGTGCAGCAATAGCAGACAGGTACCATTGCCTGGGTGGCATGGCCAGGATGGCCTCATCTCCCATACTGTATATGCTTCGCATCGGCTCCGAGTCCACTTGCTCCTACTACTCCATTTCCGCTCCACGGACCCCTAAAGGAGAGTGCTGAGGGAATCTGGGGATGTGCGACGGCCAGCGACTCTGATTCAGCACTTGTCACCTCAACCCGGAAGGGGACTTTTCCACCAACAATGGTTATTTTGGGATAGATCCCTTTTTTTTTAGATGAGACTCGTGGATGAGATTATCGTAAATGAAGCAAGTAAAATGCACCAATTCCAGGTGTTGGGTGAGAGAGGCGGCCTTTTTCCAGCTGGAGCCTCCTCCATCGGCTCCCAGCTCGGCATCCCCAAGTGCACCGGAGCATCTTGCCAAAGATGCATCATCTCCCCATAGGCAACAAGTTCAGGTTAATTTTGTTCTTATAATATTTTCTTTCAATTCTTTCCAATTGAAACTACATTTTGAAAAGTATTCCTACATTTTGTGAGTTGTGTATCACTGCTAATATAATAATGCGACGGAATATTTTGCCGCCTAAGGGGTGGAGGTCGGCGAACGCTATAAGGCCTGCCGGGTTAGCCTATCTGCAAGGAAACACATCAGTGACCATCATTAACTGAGTTTCATCCTTCAAGATGTGCAACCCGATGAGCCGTAGAGTAAGGGGGAACTCCACAAACAGGCGGCAAAAGTTTCCCTATGTTGCGGTATACTGCATTGCTACGGAAGTACTTTTTTCATATACCAAGTTTCAATCGTTTCACGCTGCAGTTCGTCTGTAGCAATAAATATATCGTTTTCTGTTACAAACTGCTGTTTTCTAATGGTTCCGAGGGATCTACAGTGTGAGTCAAAAGCGTCTTTGAACAACTATAACTCGGGAGGAAGGAATTGCAACATATTTTTTTGCATAGGAAAGAGCGTACGATAAATCACCTAAATAGAACGTTGAAGAAAAATCGTTTTTAAATCCATCCATGTTATTTTGCACTATCAAGCTCGATCACTCTGTGAATGCGATCCATCATTAACGGTTGCACACATGCGGAAGTAAACTCCGGCAATATTCTCAGTTATGCGTTGCTTTAGGTCAGGAGTACCAAACTCGATGACCGTATGAAAACCTTCAGGGGTGATTAGGGCCACGACGAAATTGCAACACCTTATCTTTAATGCAAACAAGCTGAAATTTACAGTTTGTTTCCGTTACCAGCTGTTGAGGACATCGTGGGTCGGACGCAATGGACTGGCTGGCCGGATCCGGCCCGCGGGCCGCCAGTTTGATGCCCTTCCTTCAGCTCATAAATCGTACGCGGATTTTCGGCGAATACTTAGTGTTGAATGATAACCCACAGCCAGATGTCGAGTGGAGCTTGGTCCGGCGACCTTGGTGCCGAATGTATAGGCCTGCAGAAATACTGAAAAATTATGCTTTAGCCGAGTTACTCTGGGAACACTGATTCATTTTATGCTGACTTCATTTTTCAGTGTTTCAATTTCTCACATTTTTCTGATAATTATCTCGTCTTGATCAGAATTATTTATGCATCACTTTGCTTTTGAACCAGGTGAATTACGTCGAATGAGAGACGATTCCTGAAGCTGATGGAGTTGACCTTGGTGGTCACCTGTTCTACTTGAAGACAAGGCCTGTTACATCACCTTGGGAGGCAGAACTCAAAGTAAGTATTTGTAACATTGTCAAAGATTGTAATACTGTTAAATATTTTCTTCACATGTCATGTTTTATTTTATATTTATTTATGCATTTCTTCATATATTGTACCATGTTTACTCGTCACTAAAGGACCAATCCAAAGTTCATTCTTTGCTCTCCTGGGGAATGAAATTTCGTTCATAGCATAACCTGATGAGAGCCTTGCAGGCAAAGGCCTTCAACAGTGAAGAAACTTTTTAACGAAAAAATTGTTATTGCTTAAATCAAACTTACCGAAGCTCATCAGTATGATCTGATTTGTCCCGAACATCACCTTACCAATAATACATGTTTGAGAAATTGGAAATGAAAGAAACGCGGAACGGTTTGGTCCAAGTTCATTCTCATTCGTGCTGGAGTTCCCTCTTATTTCTTAATATTGATGGGACTAAAACCATATGGGCGACCCAGAAAATAAGTGGAATGTATAGGTTCCCCTTCTAGATTAAGGACGCGAGTGATGTTTTCTGTTTGCAAATATAGGATTTTCTGTTTACTCGGGTAAAATGAAATTGTGGGATCAGCCTTGTTTTTTGCATGTTGATATACTCTAATCTGTCCACCTACAACTATGTTGTCCTATTCATAATTAATCATGAGTGAAATACGAAAGCTTCAGCTATGCATTAAATTATGTAGGTTGCCAAATCGTTGACAGAGCCCAGAAGGAATATCCACGCTTCATTTAAAGTACGATGCACCTCGTAAGTTGTCGGCCCTTTGGATGTCGGACGGAGGCATTACATGAACATAGAATCTTAGAATCCGCGATAGAATTCATATAAAATACTTAAATTCTGCATACAATCGAACTGGAAAAAAAAAACAGCCAGGACGAAACCTTTCGGAATCTGATCCTTTAAGGTTCGGAATTCGTTCTCTATTCAGTAGTTGAAGGTCTGCCGAAGATTCAGCGAAAAGAAAATCGTATTGATTTACCTGGGGGAAAAAACGCCGGGTGGTAAAAACTTATTCTTTTAACTCTCAATCCGATTGTATGTAAGAGATTATGAAATTTTGGAAGCAAATAGTGTAACTCAATTTGAGATGTGCAGATTTTCAAATCAAGCTTCCAAATGCTAACATTATCTAATATTCCTGGTTTCCTTCCTTTTTTTCCCTTGTGTTGCTCCAGCTGCTCCATCACTTGCGTCTTCATTGACCGCTCCCCCAGTCCTTAACCGGGCTGCTCACCCGGTCGGGGACAACTGAGTGGACATGGCTGATGTCCCCCGAGAGGATAAGGCCGGGGGTTTCTAGGGAGGCAAGATGCTCAACGACCCTGATTCGCCGACGGTGTCGAAACCACTCCGCCTCAACATGGAGTGAACTCTTACTGCACATAGTAATTTTTGTAAGAGATAAGTTTTTCATCTGCTCATGGATGAGGTTCTCTTAAATGAACCAGGTGAAATGTACCAATTCAATTCCAGGTGTTGGGTGATTGATACGCCATTCTTCAAGCGGGAGCTCCCTACTCCATCGCCTGGCATCTCCAAGCCTTCCGGAATTCCTCGTCAAGCAATTGTCATCTCCCAAGAGGCACAAAGCTCAGGTTAATTGTGCCCCATTGATGAATATTCAGCATGAAACATGATTAATAGAAGTGGACAATCAGAATTTTTTTAAATATAACAATCTTCCATTCACTTGAAAACAAAAACTATTGTGATTAGTTGATCCCTTTATATGGATTTAAAGTAAATCAATCTGGTTCTATTTCCTGCCTTTTCCTTATCCTTGAATTTAATTGGAACAAATTTATTTCCCTCAAACCATATAACCATGTGGAGTAACCTCGCTTCTTCAAGTTTGTGATAGGAAGTTGACATCTTGTTATGCATACATAGATACTTATTTACTCAATCATTAGTGCAGAAATGCACATTTATATATATGTATTTTCATTGCAAGAATCAATTGACGTTATTCTTCCTGTCTGGGTCATGTGTTTCATGAGAAGCGTATAGGCATCGAAATTCATCTCCATAATTGCATTTTTTGCAGATGCAGGGCGTGCTCCAGACCCTTTCATGGAGAGGGGAGTTCTAGTGAGGTCTACGTGGACCGAGGAGAAGCTCCTCTTGTGGCCCGTCAACTTTAACCCATAGTTAAATGGCACCTGTGGGGTCAGTAGGGACGTCTTGAAGTGTAGAGCTCTGATCTCTTAGGCTCGTTAGCATAGTCTGGAACTGTTTGCTTCAGAGAATTTCGGATTTTTTCCCACTGATTACCTTTCTGCCTCACTCTAGCCCGTTTCGTTGGTCTTTTTTTGCCTCAACAATGAATTATATTTTAATTACATATTGAGACACAAATTCAATATATTACTTCGAAGCAAAGTCTTGTTAATAGGAGTGAAGGAACTTTTATACCTAACCTCAATATATACACTTGAAGTAAGCTTGAACAAAGACCAAATTTTTCTTGTTGCCTTCGACTAAACCTAACGTGGCCTTGTCTACCCTAACCATCCTTAGCTAACATGGCTTTAGTTCTAACCCATAACCCTAACTAACTAACCCTAACATCGTCCAACTCCATAAAGTCGCATGACATGGTCACGTTGGGTAATTGGAACTTAGATTGAAGTGAAATAGTTCCACACTTCTCATGGTATGATAAATGGTGCCTTTTGTTGCAAGCCCCATTCTAAGTTTGAAGGCAACCACGGGACTACATTCAAATCAATTCAAATGTTCAAATCAGTGCAAACGTTATCTACTTGATTCATATGTGTATATATTGAGGGAGGTATTGTTGAAGATGGCAGTGCTTTAATTTTCTCAATTTCATGTCTTCCATCGAGCTAAATTACTTTAGATTGATGCATGGCATCAATTATAATTGATGCTTTGCATGACAAATCGTTCTCCAATTTTGCTCTTCAATAGCTACTGGAAATTGATAGATTTCGTTTGATTTTCAATTCATGAACTAATTTAATTTGGGAAATTATCATTCAATTTTTGGGATATTGGATTTTCGCAAGATTGAATTGACAGGGATAGACTTTAGATTCATGGGTGGAACTGAAGTTAGTCCTGCAGCTTCAAGGAGGTGAGAGAAAGTGGTACTTAGTTGTAGCTTTAGTTCATAATTATTGTCTTGAATTTTTATTTAAAGCTAATTTTCTTTCAATTCTTACGTTTCCTTTTACCACTGCTGCCAGGTTGGTTTAGGCGCGTCAATTGTGCCGGAACAGCAGACACAGATACCGTTACCTTGGAGTCAGGACTAGGATCCCTTCGTATCCCAGATTGGCCTCTGCATTTTGCTCCGGGTGCTATTACTCCAGCCACTCCATTTTTAGCAGTTGCCCTAGTCAGTAGCCCAGCTCCATCGGCTCCTCACCTGATCAGGGACAATTTGGGTGGACATAACTGGCGTCCCCCCAAAAAGATTGAGCTGAAGTACTCATATGAGGCATAATGGGCAGCGACTCTGATTCAGCACTGATGTCACCTCAATCCGGAAGGGGAAATTTCCACCAAAAATGGTTATTTTGGCGAAAGGTCCCATTCTTTTTTGGATGAGGTTATCCCAAATGTACCATGTAAAATGCACCATTTCTATTGCAGGTGTTGAGTGAGAGAGGAGGCCTTTTCCAGCAGAAGCCTCCTTCTCCATCGCCTCCCCGCACAGCATCTCCAAGTACATCGGACACTCTTGCCGAACGTGCGTTATCTCCTCAAATGCAGCAAGTTAAGGTTAATCGTGTTATTTTAATCCTTACAAATTGAAACAAAACTATAGGTTTTTCAATGTATTCAGTTTGTGAGCTTTGTCACTGCGCATAAATTTTCAATACTCCATTGCTACAGGAAAATTTTTTCCCTGTACCAAATGGCAATGGTTTTTTACTGCAATTTGTCTATAGTAAGTGTTTTGTTAGAATCTGCTGTATTCTTTTGGTTCCAAGACATGGTGAGTCAACGGCGTCTTTGAACGGCTGGAACTCGACAGGATGTAAATTTTGGACAAACGTTTTTTTATTGATTAGGAAAGAGCGTACGATAAATGATGTAAATGTAATGTAAACAATTTTTTTTGACTAAGTGACGGTAATTACTTGACATTATAGGGCACCGTCAAGCTTGATCACTCAGCGAAGCCGAGTCGTCATTGTATGGCAGACTGTTCCCTCACAGGTTAACCAAATGCTTTTTTTTCCCCCTTCATTTCAATTTCGAAAATGTATGGTCCCATTGGAGGGAGGTCCCATGAATTTAAGATTCAAATTGGTATATGGTTTCCAGCGTATGAGGACATGAAGCTATTCCATGTTTGCTCGGAAAGAAATGCTGAAAAATTTTACATTCGAATTGCGCTTGGAACACTGAATTATTTCATGGTGAATTCATTTTTCAGAGTTAATTACTGGTCAAATGTGTGAAAATGTATCTGGTATTCATCAGAATTACTTATGCATGAATTTGTTTTTGAAGCAGGTGGGTTACGTCAATGGTGAGACAACTCCGGAAGCTTAGGGAGATGACCTTGGTGGTTACCAGTTCCTCTTGCAGACGAGGCCTGGCCCTTCATCGCAATGGGAGGCAGAACTTCCTCACGTCCCATAAGTCAATGCCTAAACTTCTCCAACGAATCGGATCCAAAGGAAAGAAGAGGTTATGCCTGTACCCATGGAGACACGTCGTCTGTGATCAGTGATCTGTCATCTTAAACTCACATATTACTCCATTTAAAATTGGCATTTCTTGTGTGCAATTCCTATATTCGAGTTAACATTCTCTAAATGCGCTTGAAGTTCTTCTGTGACTGATGTTAGACGGCTCAAATTCCATTGTTTTACTACATATGGTCTACATGTTTGACCGTCAATTCGAGGGGAAAATATTCCAAATGTTTGGTGCTTGAAAAATGCTTGCTCTAATTTTCCTCGGGGCAAGATGGAATTTTGAAGGCCAACACAACCCCATCATGTAGATATTTCGGTGAAATTCTTAATAGAATAGCCTGATGAAAGTCTTAATGAGAGGACAATAGCCTTCAATAGTGAATAACTTTTTGAAAGAAAATTTTATTTTCTTGAAGTTTCAATCAAGTTGAGCTCTTAGGCTTGTTAGCGTAGTGTGGAAATGGTTGTTACAGAATTTCGATTTTTTCCCCCCACTCATATATTAGCTTACTGCTCCACTTCAGTCTGCTTTGAGCCTTTTTAGGCCTCAAATTATAATTAAATGGGCGTATAAGTATGTAATTAATATACATGTATAGCAATACTTCGAAGCAAAAGTCTTGTGAATAGGATTGAAGAAACTGATACCTAACCTCAATATATATGTTTACATATAAATACAATAAAGTAAGCTTGAACTAAGATCAAGTTTTTCCTGGTTGCCTTTGACCTAACCTAATGTGACCTTGTCTATTCTAACCATCCTTAGCTAACGTGGTTTTAGTTTTAACCCCTGACCTTAACCCCTAACCTTGCCTAACTCCACTAAAAGTCACATGACAAGGTCACGTTGGGTAATTACTACCATTGAAGTGAGAACTTCCGCCCTTCTAATAGAACGATAAATGGTGCCTTTTGTTACAAGCTCCAGTCCAAGCTTGATGGCATTCACGGGTCTACATTCAGATCAATTCAAACGTTTTCTCTATTTCATTTATATATGTATATATTGAGGTGGTATTGCTGAAGATTGCAGTGTTTTACTTTCCTCAATAACATGTCTTCCATCGGGCTAGATTCTTGCATTCGATTGATACATTGTAGCAACTTTAATTCAAGCTCGTTCTCCAATTTCGCTTTTCAAGAGCTACTGGAATTTCCTATGGTTTTCCTATTGCCCACCATTTGGCGCTGTTTCAGATTAGACAACTTTGTTCCCTGCTGCTTCCCATACTCGACCATGAGCTTCCCTTGTCAAGGTAGGAATTTTCAGATAGGCCATGTCAACTTATGTCACCCACTAAGGTCACAAGGCCTTTGGCAGAGGTTGCCCCCCTGGTGCAAGAAGGGAAATTCATTTGCTAGATTCACGTTTAACAAAACTCATCAGTGTGATCCGATTCGCCCTGAACATCACCGTATTTGTCTTAAGTTTTCATTGAAAGAGTTTATCTCAGAACTTTATGAAACTGCGTATGTATCAAAAGACAACAAAATCTGCTCCATATTTGTGCACCTCCCTTGTTACCCCCCTTGCTTTTCAACACACCCCTCCCTCCTTTCCTCGATTCTAACTACAGCTTGTAATCTCACTGTCATTTCGGATAATAAACAATAAAATAAAGTTTAAAGGCAAAAGAGGGAAAACAAATCAATTGGAGAGGCAAAATGCTACCTTTTCTTGTATTGCTCTCCTGATGAAGGAGCGGCCTTCAGATGATTTCTTATATCTTCAAGCATGGTGCAGTTTACGCGGGTTTCATTTCCTTGTATCTTTTCAACATTGTGAAAGCTCGGTTATTGGTGGTTCCATCTGCCGATTCCCAACAGCAATCCAAACCTGAAGATGGGCCAACATCACATGTTTTACCATAAGTCGGCTTATACCAACCATATGGGCACGAACATCCCCTTCCATGATGTGCAGTTCCCAATGTAGTATTCCACGATCACATGAGGTAACCATAACATATAGCCTAACCGATCTAGTAAGGAGCCCTTTTGCGGATTGGGAGAACATGGCCGCAAGTATAAGTGGTTGGCATTAATGTAAGTGCAGAACCTTCATAGCGTACTTTTCGACATAGTGTGAATTCAGGTTAGGCCTCTAAAGCTATCTAATACAGTATAAGGTTATCCGGAGTAAGTGTGTTCGATCCTAATGTTTTAATAATTACAAGTGCCATATGCCGTCAACGAAGTATGCACTAAGCACTGTCATGCTAGTCCTGTTTTTTATTCAGTGGCTCAACAGATGCATCACTGAATGTGGAGATGCCCTCATTCAACTTTCCCAGTATGATCAGTAATGCAGAATCAAATGAGGTTTTTTGTACCATGGCAAAGTAGATTCCATGCTCTTTCCAACTAGTCCCTTTCGGAGTTCCTTACCGGGGTAAGTGTGATAATTCATAACGTAACTCTCTCAAGTCTTCGTCTCATTCACTCGTAGGCCTCGCTGGAAGATTAAAAGTGCCAACTACGTTCCTGAAGCTGAAGTCACTCCTTGCTCGAAGTTCCTCGTCTGATTGACACATTGTGCATTATCTCTATAAAAGAAAATCAAGGAGTGGTCTCCGACCTATCCTCACTGGGTTTCGAAATTACGCTACAAATGAATTATCTTTAAGCACCATTGCAGCAGAAGAATGGTCTTAGAATTTGCAACACTTCCGCCAGTTTCACATACCTATTCGAATCAAGAAGTACGCAGTTTATTTTCATAGTCCCGATTAAGGACAATTTTTTCAACTGGTTCCAAGAGGATGGGGTTAAATGTGATCACTGAAAGAAATTTGATGTCAAGGAAAAATGCATGCAGTTCTGGCCATACAAAGAAATGGACATAGTAGAGATAAGTTTGCTAGCTAGCAAAAAATAACCTGCTTCCATTATCAGCCAAGTCCCAGTATAGTAAAGTCAATTATTATTCGACTAATGGCAGCCAAGAGGCGATCATATTCGATCTGCGATTTTCGCCGTTTTAGGGTCGGGCCATAGTTGGGTACCCTATATTTTCGACACAGATACCCATAATTTCCCATTTCGATATCGGAGGAAGACAATGAAACCTTGAAACATTACTCTGAAGACATCACGTAGCCTTGAAGTGAACCAGGAAATTCCGTCCCACATGTCCGTAGGAGGATCATTCTCCTTTTGTTTCTTCTCTCTCATGAAGGAGCAGCCTTCAGATGAATTCTTGTTTCTTCAAGAAGCATGATGTTTTATTTCCCTTTATCTTTTTATCATTGTAAAAACTCTCCTAATGTAGTTGGGAATCCGCACATGCACCAACCAAGTCAAAGTTGACCCGATGAAAGGCCAACATGACATGCCCGACAATAAGTCGGCTCCTACAAACCTTATGGGACGAACGTCCCCTGCCATGGTTCCATGGGGTTTCGTTACGAATGTCGTATTCCGCTTCGCTCGCGACACATTCACATACTTTTTGTGGACTTCCTTGATGGCACTGTTCACGCCTCGAAGCCCTAGGGCCTCATGAACACCCTTCAACACATCGATCTTCCGTTCTACTTTTCGTGCAGGAACTGTGTGGCTCGAGACGCATCGCTCGCCCAAAGATGCGGACGTCGTCGTGCTTGAGGATGGTCTTGTTGTGCTCCAGCCGGGCTTTCTTCTCCTTGACCTCAGCAGCCTTGACATCCACGTCGAGCTTCTCGTACCTATCTATCGGTAACACGGGGTTATTGGGAGACTTGGTCTTCTCGTTGAGCTACTTCTCGTAGATTTCGAGAGACTTTACATGAATGCGTTCCAGGCAGAAACATGGTAAATATACCTAGACTGGACATGGCGGTCGAAGACCTCGCGCCGATTTGAAGGGCTGGCGGGCATTATTGATGGTGTCAAGGAGAGGATGAAGCATGGGATTCACCGAGGTGCATTGTAGTCATGGTCAATGTGTTTAGGATTCGGATGCTGTGAAAGACCACTGAATGGGTCGGGTATTGCGTCTTGCAATGATGAATCGGGCTTGATAACTATTGACCCCTTTCCCGAGGTCTAACCTTAGGTGTGGCGTAATTTTCTTAGCCTCAAATAGATCCTGAGCCTAACTGCAAGGGAAACTGATGTACCCTCTCATTATCAAGTGGGAGAAAAAGACGGAGTAGGTAGCATTAGCCAATTTAAAAAATACCGTACTTCATCACTGTAGACCGGGTAGGCTTAGGCCCACCCGGTATTCGCAGAAAGCGTCAAAACAAAAAGTGTTGTATGACGTCATGAATTGAAAAGCTATGCGTTTATTGGTAGATTTGACGCCATGAGCGACAGCGGCCGACCCTTCTAATAGGCGTGCGGCTGCTTAGCTTTCTTCATTGGTATGTCCAGTCGAGGTATATTTACCATGTCTCTGGTTTCAGGCATCGACTGGGAGAGAAGGTTCCGTGGGCTGACGGTAGAGGAGTGATGCTCTATAACGTTCAAGACTTTATTGCAGGCCTTTCTGGAGGAATGCATCCACAAGTTCATGAAATCGATCAGGCAAACTGTATGGTTCACGGGTAAAATCAAAGCACTCATCAGGGATTTAAAAGAAAAAAACGGAAATGGGATACGCATGAGCGCTCGGGAGATCGGACAGACTGAGGAATATAGAACCATCGGGAGTTCGTTGAAGCGGGAAATGAGGTCTGCGAGACTGAAGGTCGAGGAACGGCTGCCCGGCGATGCTAAGAACCCCAATACTTTTTTATTAGTGATATGCTAGTGGTAGGTGGGAACAATGGATGGGGTCACTAATAAACGACGGGGGAGTCGATTGCAAGTAAAGATAAGGCTGGGATACTGAACGAGTTCTTCGCTTCCGTTTTCACTGTTGAATTCGACTCGGCACCGACTTTGGAGGAGGTGACCTCGGCGCGCATCAAGGATATTTCCATCACCGAGGAAAGGATCGTCAGTATGATAGGGAAGTTAAAAGTGGGCAAGGCGACCGACCCCGACGGGATTCCTGCGAGTGTCATTGAGGTACATGCGAGAGAAATATCGGTTTCGCTAAGAATAACATTTCAAAATAGCTTTTCACTTCCTGAAGTACCTAAGGGCTGAAGACTTGGGATCGCCGTATCGATCTTAAAGAAGAACGGAAAGAGTAATCCGGGGAATTATAGGCCGGTAAGTCTCACGAGTACCCCGGGAAAGATAGGACGAGCCAGTGGTGGCGGGGAATGGGGAAGCGGCGGCCGAAGTCGGGTGTCGCAGGCGGGGTCCCTCAGGGCCCGGTCCTGGGATCACTTCTGCTTCTGTTCGACATAAGCGATTTGGGAAGAAACACAATGCAATTCTGTTGAATGAAGGATAGCCGCCTGGAAGGTGGATCTCGAGGAGGTCAGGACACTGAGATGGTGGGAGGCCACGTACAAGTGGACGGGTGGGGGTTCGACGCTGTTCCGGCTGGACGTGTCGTCGGGTTCTATGCCCGTTCCAACCCGAACTCGAAAGGATGCGTTTTACGTGGTAATCTAGGAAACTTGATCTCATCGTTCGGAGCGTAAGAACGATTTTTTTCTCCTCTGCTGCATTGGGATGCAGTCGATAGGCCACATTCCTGATACGTTTAATGGCTTGGTCTGGTAATGATAAGGGGTGCCCCTGTAAAGGGTGTCCCAGATTTCCTGCCACATTTTCATTTTTTCATTCATAGCAAAAGGGGTTTAAAATTGCTTTATTACAATGGTAATTCATGTATGCTCTTATAACAAATAATCTGAATGCTGTCTGCTGTTTCTATCGAGAGGAAGCCACGTATCCTATTCATTGGCTTTCGCTTAGGAAATTAAAACGTAAGAAAACATGGCAGAAAATCTGGAACACCCCGTACACTTGGAACGTCTTTATTCAGTATTTATTCGATCTGTGACACCTCACAAAGTAAGTATCAACGTTCGTCATATTATTTCAGATAATGGGACTAAATCCGGAACGCATTCTGTATATTTGGATTTCACAAATTGCACATTGCTGTAAAAGATTGGGGCAAAAACTGTTGAACGGGCTATGTTCTCTCCCCCTTATCACGTGAACCCTATTTTCTTCCAAAAGTACGTCACTAACGGTTGTTTTAACTTGTATAAAAGCCCCGGTGATCCAGCCCAGAGCAGGGTGGTCATGCATCGTCGCAGGACCCAAACTCCCTCCAAGACCAGTCTCTCATATTTCGCAATAGTGCATTGTCTCTGGAGCTGAAGGGTTCCTCGACCGAGCACTCTCCGAGGCCAGCTCGGTAGAAGAGGACGCGACTCGAAGCTGTTCGTCGAAAGCCCGAGTGCTCGACAACTAGTCTCAGGTGTCCGCGTAGGTAGTTCGTCAGCTCCAGTCGCTGGACATCTCACCTTGGACATTGTCAGCAGAAACACGTGCCAACTACTCTGCATGGCTGTTCGCTAGCCCCAATCTCTCAGCAACTCGTCAGTAGTCCGGATTGTCTGTAGGTTTTTCTTTCTTTTCCTTTGTAACCTCGCCATTTCGGTCCCTGGAAGGGTCATTTCCGCGAGACCTCCGAAACGATGCCTATGGAAGGTGCAACAGCAACTTCATTTCTACACGCTTCGCCAAGATTCGTCCCTCTCGGACGATTCCCCCTAAAAGTTTAAAAGTGGCTTTGATCGAAATCCTCTACAAACCCAAAGAATGTCAGATTCAGAAATAAACTTATTGTTCCCAGAATTCGAATCCTTGTGTTCGTCAACCCCCTTTGAAATCACATTCGGTAGGATTGCGCGGAAAGCTCCCAAATATGTAACAGATCGAAACTGCAAGCTCTTTACTTTTAACATCAGAAAAATGGGATTCCGTATCGACATACAAAAAACGTAACTCGAACCGACTCCGGGTCGAAGTTCATTAACTTAATTGCAATGCAAGTAAGGGAGGAAGCTTCGCCATTCTCCCGTAATAGATGTTCCTAACAAATGGGGAATTTTAAAGTAAACCAGCAGCACTCGAGATAGGAGAGACATCACTCATGGAGTACCCACGAGATAACAGGCACAGTCCTCTTATAAATGTATCCTCTATGAGGTCAGTATAGCCTCTCACTCTCTCCCCTCCTCCGCTATCTTCTTCCATTCGTCCTGCCAGCGCGTAGTGTCCTTAGACACAGTGACCTGAGTGAGGCGCAATGATATTCCGCATTCGAAATTGGACGAAGTGAAGGCTAAAACGCGTATGTCCGAACGCCGTTAGTCCGCAATATCCCAATACGCCCTGGCCTAGCGATGTGCATCCACTGAACTCGCAATAACATAAAACAAGAGGTGTCAGGTAAGTGAGCTACAGACTACACTCAACTCTTCAGGTAAACTTCATTCCAAATTATATTAGAGAGGATTCCAGCTCAACCTTGCATAACGATAGGGTAGTGCACCCACAATGTAGTGAAAAGTGATCATTTGCTCAGAACAGATGTCGGATCTGCCCTAAATTGGTGAGGCTCATCGCACATGGTAGTGATTTTAGTGCTTTGCTGTACCTCGCGGGATTACCAGTAGCTCGTAGTTGGAGACCAGTGGCTCGACTCCTGACTCGATGAAGCTTATTAGGCACGGAACCTACTTTTTTATTCACTTTCTAGAACATCATTTTGCTGGATTTGACTGCAACATGAGAATTCATCGTATGAACAAGCCTCTCATCGGTTATATCGGTTCGTGGTCAATTCCTTGATCATTTTCTTGTAGCATCGGTGAAAGAAGATGAGCAGACTATAGGAATCATGGACTGCATCTCATCACGATGATATTCTTCTAAAGGTCCAAGATGTGGCGAACGATTAGTTGACATCCTACAAAGAGAAACTCAAGAAATCTCTTCCACGAGTCGTCAATGGGTGAGGAAACGCGACCGCATCTGAATCTCCTGATTGCTTATTGCAGAGGAACTCGTTGCCTCTCATGTGTTCACAGCGGAGAAGAGCGTGAGGGACCGTATGGCGAAGGTCCTCACTCTTTTCTCGGAAGAGCTGGAGCTCATCAATTTCGATAAGGTCTTGCTCGACCTACGCGGTAATGAGATTGTTACTCACAGGGAGTACCTCGCCGTCGCGAAGACGAATGATTCCAAGGAAAAGGTCCTGTTTCTCCTGGAATGCCTGCCTCGAAGTGGAGACGGTGCCTTCCCCGCTTTCGTTGAGGCTTTGCAGAAGTGGGATCACGTAGACCTAGCCGAGAAGTTGAAAGATGGTGAGGTAATTTTTTAATGAAAAGAAAATTATGAAATAGTTGCATGCAATTTTTTAGCAATAAAAGGCAAAATACTAAATATTAAAAATTAAAATTTGCCAAGATATTACATTCGAGATTCAATAAATGCCTCAAATATTAGTTGAGAATCTGGCATGGAAGCGGGCTCGGGTCTACAAATGATTTATGTATCAATAGTTGTTCAAGCAGTGAACAGTGAGGTCACGAAGTACTGCCCCCATAAGAAAAACTAGACTACATTTATAAACATGGTGTCCCAAAAGTTAAGACGCAGGGAAATAGCATTTTATTACATATACTGCTTAGTCCCAGAAGTTTAGTAGGTGTCCCAAAATTCCTACCACCTGTAGCAGAAGATCATTTGTTCTAGACCTTTCTCCAAGTAGTGTTTGTTTTGTGGCAATACTAACATGTTCATGCCATGTTTCTTCATATCAGTGAAGTATCTGAACTTTTTGAGAAATGTGAGAAACATTTAGCAGATTTAAGTGCCCAGATTCAAAATATGACAAGCAATCTTGGACGTATTGTATTTGGGCAAACTAAAACATGAATTGAATTTTTCGATTCCATGCATTCCTGGGCAAAGGAAAAGCAACTCATTAGGTTTCTCAAATTCTTAAGTTTGAGGATAGGTTGGGCTTTTGTGAGATAAGAATTCCTGCTTGAGAGAAATAATATATTCCATTGGGGAACATTTTTATTGAATAAGTCCTATAATTGATTCAATTGTAGGCAAAAGTTCCTTTGTGGATGCCCTCTTCAATTACGTTGTTGGTGTCACTTTTGATGATGACTTCAGGTTCACCATCACCTCGCCGAACGAAACTAATCAGGAGGAAAGTTTAACCAAGACTGTGACAGCGTACTCGTTGGGAATGCAAGATATCAAGGGTTCTCGTTTTCGCTGGCCCCTCACAATCGTAGATACTCCTGGGTTCGGAGATATAGAAGGGATCGAAGAGGACAGAAGTAATTGGCAGAAAATTAGGAAGTTGTTCGAAAATGGTGCGCTTGGACTGAATCGGCTCCATGTGGTCGTTTTTGTTGTTCCGGCCCCTCAGGTTCGAGTCAAGTTAAAACAGGACCAATTTGCACCGTTCTTTGTGAGAAGCTTTCCAGTTGCAAGATCATCTCGAAGGATAGTGACTTTCTCTTCTTTTGAAACAAATTAAAAAGAATACACTTTGGTTGCAACTTTCTCCTCCGTTAATGGTGTGAAAAAAATAAGGTGCTTGCATTTCAGGAATCGTGTGTGATTGATATAGAGAAGTAACGTTAACTGAACGATGGCATGTCATCAGTAGTTATTTTTATTAAAAAAATGCAGGCATTTTTGAGCTTTGAAAGTGCCTCAAAGTGCCCTCCGCCTTCATCAAAACAGTTGGCATGAGGCTTGGCACTGAAAAACTGTCAAAACTCCCTTTGTATTCTGACGGGACTCTCGAAGATCTTCATCCAGGAGGGAACGTTTCCTCGGTGCTCCAGCGCCAATGGCGAAACCTTTTCTCATAACAGTGAAAGAAATTTAAGCTATTTGTTATTTTTTCCCTTCCTAAAGCCTATTTGAACATCAAAAGATCGAAAAACATAAAGTTTAGTCATTTTTTAAGAAAGGATTCAACAAGTTGTACCATAAATCGCCTTAAACAGGTTTATCTATCTAAGATGTATTCGAAGCAATTTCCGTTTGAGTCCGATACCAAGTTATTACTGGAAAAAATATATAAAGCAAGTTGTTTCCATCAATGCTAATGACAATAACTTCCTTGCTGTATTTTCCAAAATATTACAGTGTGAAATGGTGTATTGACTTATGGGACTGTATATACGCATGGAAAACTCTTTAAATTAGGCTCATGTGGTGTATTAAAAATGGAGCAGTATTGACAATCTGGTGAGGTTAGTGTGAGGTACATGCTTCCATTTCCTCTCAACTGCTACTTCCTCATGGAATATATGTCTTTTTCTCACAGAGCGGGGTATGGAAGACGAGAAACATGGCATCATATTTAGGCTACACGATGCATTCAAAGGACACAAACGGACGGCCATTAAACCCTATATGCCATATATCAGAGAATTCTTTGTGATCATGTCTGAGGACTCAGAAGTGAAAAGTAATTGGAAAAATAGCAAAATAGATCGATTCAGCACTTACGAGGAGGGATTGGAAAAAATGCGAAAAAGATACCTGCTCTAGCCACAGAGGGGTTGTACTTAAAAAAAAATACTCACTTTTTCTCAAAACTCTTCAGGGAATATCTGAATCGTGGTCCTCCTTCTCTAGGATGTATACAATGCTCAACATTAGGAACAATATGAGACGTGAGCACATTTTGAATGTGAATGCTAGTGGTAGGTGTCAACAGTCGATCTGGCCGCTAATGAATGAAAAGAGGGAGTTGATTGCAAGCGATAAGGATA